TTTTGACTTAGCTAAGTCAAATCTCAGCTTTGGAGGAGAGTGTTTGCATCTAATTCTTAAATTCCGACTTTTTTCTCTACAGCTCTAGGTTTTGTCTGCCATCTGAAATGGTTAGTGGCCATGTTTTATAGTAGTTGTCTAGCTTCATCGACCACCATCATGAAAGCTCCACCAGATGCAGAATCTAGTGAGTCTCTTGATGATTATGTAACCCATTGTAATAGATGTCAAGCTGCATATGCTCTATTATACCATGTTGTGGACATTTCCTTTACATCTTTTTGAATCTTTACCATGTGTCCTATAAGGTTTTACTTTCATGCTGCTAAAAAGATTCGATTGTAGTTCTGTAACGTGCATCTTTAGATTGTGGGAAAAATTTGGCCAAGAATGCTTTCCTGAATTTATTTCATGATGAAATGGAATTGCTTGGCAGTGTTAAGCCATGTCAAAGCCTTGTCCTGCAGAGTGTACGGAAATAGCCTTAACTTGACATCAACACTGGGCAATCCCTGAATCTGGAATGCACTACACAATCAAAGGAAAATCTTGATTCGATAATTCGGTTCTTCATTGGCTAATCCGTGGAAAGGACAAGCTTCTTGTAGCCATTGAATCATAGTAGACTTCAATTAAAAGTTTTTGTCCTCAGCATCTAGATAATCCAGGAGAGATTCAACTTGCTCCTTATGTGGAATGTAGTCCTTCAGTAATGTCTGAAATGGATTACGGTCTTCATTCCCCTGATGTTCCTGATGTTCTTTTCCATCCCTTCTGGTTCAAACTGTTGTTAATGTTCTGGATTTTGCCTTCTTCTCCAAGCTCTAGCTCTTTTAAACTGTAGCTTCGATTGCACGATCAAACAATAGAGGACCGGAAGATTTTCTTCTTGTCATACAACCAAAGACCAAACATTAATATGAAATATAAAAACTAAAAAGACTAAAATAAAAAAAGAAAGAAAAAATAAAAAACAACTATATATGACTAAGCAGATTCAGAGATGTTTTACGTCGTACCCGACAATGGCATCACTTTTTTGGCCAACTGTCGTCAATCACCCAGGTAAGGAAATTTATAATCGACTACTACTAGCTAGTGATAAGTCGGGTCAATTCACATGGACGATTGAAACTACTTAAGAATCGCTTAAAACACAACTAAACTAAACGTTTTAGCAACAATTTTAGCAAGAAAACAAGAGATTAAAAAGAGTTAAAGAGGCTGGGATCAATGTAGTATAAAATGTGTTCGATCAGACCATAATATAGCTCTAAACCTCTGTTAATTTGTTCTTAAGGGAGTCTTTCGATTTAGTAACAAGTTCTCTTTTGAGTAAAATGTTTAAATCCCTTCGTGCATTAAAATCTTAAATCTTGGCAATTGCCCATGCCAACTAGGTATCTTCCGATCCTAGTTAAAACCTTAGACTGCTACCTCTAGGTCACCAGCATGTTTTAATTGTTCTAAACTTTGCTAACCTTCCGAGATTCACACAATATGAAAGCACAAGTGTCAAAATGATTAAGCTAAACTCAAGATTAATTCATTCATTAAAATTGGGCACATTTACAACGTTCAGTAAAAATCTAAAGTATTTTCATATAGAAAAAGAAATTCAACCCTAGCGAAAGACTTAACTACTCATAATCAATATTTAAAACACAAAATCCATATAGAACTAAGCACAAAGCATGATTACCAGGAAAGGACAATACAACAGAGAAGAAAATATGTAAACTTTAGCAAAACAACATATGACTTAGGTGAGTCGAGATATCACTTGCCTGAGTGTTTGTCTCTCTCTCTCTCTCTCTCTCTTTCTTTCTCTCTCTCTCTCTACTCAACCAAACCCTAATATTTTTATGCTATTCTATGCTCCTTTTCTGTCTCCTTTGCAATGGCCTTCACTTCTTCCTTTCATAGAACTCAACAATTCATGATCACTGTTGAGATGAAGCCATGTACACTAGTTATCAGGAGTATCAGGAACATTGTTTTTCTGCTTGGCTCTTCATGAGTGATCTCAGCTGCAAATTCTTGTCATTTTTTTGGATTTTCAGGACCACAATGGCTACACATGCAGGATCTTCTTTGCCCTCTAAGAATTCCTCATTTCAGTGAAGTTTCATGCCTTAGAACTGGTCCTGAAATTGCTTCTTGGAATCAGACTCTTTCTGAGTGGTCCTTGAATTCCCCCCGACCCCCCTCCCCACCTCATCTGCACTTATGGTCCAATCATCAAGTTCTTCCTTTTTCCAATTTTAGCGGCTATTTCTACTATTTTTTAGTTAAGTCCCTAATCAGAGGAAAGTACTTGTTTTTAAAAACCCCTTTGCATACCCTTTGGTGGGAATTGAACCCATGTCCAATACTATGAAGCACAGCATCCTAAGCAATAGGTTGTCGTACAATTCCCGAGAACAGTACAAAAGTAAATTAGAAGTATACAATTCCGGCCTGAATTCTACTATATTATAATGGAAAGAAGACCAAAAGTAATGCACATAACCATGTAAAATTGACATTAATTCGTCAAATTGAAATCCATGTATTTGTGAAGGTAATGAACTCTGTTCAAGGTAGTTTATGTTATCACCTTAAAAACAGCTACATCAATTAAGTTGATCCATGATTTCAAAATAGAACTATATGCTCAAACCAAATAATCAAGCCTTCAAGTTTTTAGCACCGGAAATTCCCACTATCTAAGGTTATTCTGATGAATACCCAGGTTACAAATTCACAGATACTCATGTAAGCTATATGCTCTATGATCTTAAATAATTGGACGAAAAGCATTTAGTTAATTAGGTCTTATACGTACTGTTTCAAAGTGTCAGATGCAAGTAGGGAGGTTAAACAAAAAGCTTATATTATTTGGTGCCATCTATTTTCCCATATTGTCTGAAGCATACTCTGTACAATTCTTCGCAATCCCAATATGTTAAAATGAAAAGAAATGATCTTGAGATGAATTAGGCAAAGCACTACATCTCCTGAAGAAACTCTTATCAATTTTCTGTCTGAAAAAGTGCAACTGGAATCCACCTCTTGTCTATACAGCCAAAATTAGAATCATGATCAGAATAAAAAAGGTACCACATCGAAATTTGCTTTTAGTTAAATGAAAATGAAGCATTATGGAATCATCCCATGTGGTGTACATATTTTTTTCCAATGGATCCTTTGAGCAATCAAATCGATTGCAATTCCTCAATCATTAAGAACAAAATGCTCCAGATGATTACTTGACTACCTCTTTGATATGAATCTCTCTTAATCCAACAAAGCTATGATTACAAAAACTTGTATTAAATTACGATACAAATCCTTGTTTTTCTTCTATCTATAACCCGCTTGGATAACCAATGATACCATAATATATATATATATATATATATATATATATATATAGTGAATAAAAATAGTGACAAAATATAGTGAGTGATGTGGATTAATCATGACCCCTAGTTTTTTGTTACTTTTCATTTGAATTTTTTTTCTCAAAATTACATTTTCACCCTTGATTAATAAATAGACATATTCAGCAAAGTGTATGGTATATTTGTCTTTTAAATTGTCACTGTATATTTTCACTGTACTTAGTCACTAGATGTATCATTGCTGGGAATATCTATATTCAAGAATAAATTCAATCAAAATACAAAAAAATATGATATACAAGAAGATAGAATAAATGTTATAGGAACGAATTCTAATAAAACTTGTCAATTGAATCTCCATATTCCAATACAAATGCGTTGATTTGTTCAAGAAAGACCACGAGCTTGGTATCCAAGTTCATAAATACAAAATTATTCCTGCAAAATTAACCAAAAAAAACTTCACTTGTCCTATGTGAAATCATCCATGAAAATTTCTAAAAAAGTGTATATAAAAAGTTTGTGTTTCAACTTTCCATTCATCTTTGATATCAAATTAGCCATTATATAATCAATAAAATAATCATCATAATTTTGTATAATCTTTATCGGTGCTTTTAGATCGCATCACTATTCTTGGTACACATTGGAGCCATCAGATCGATACTAATTGTTGTGGTACATTGGGGAGGTGGATGAGAAATAAACGGCGTCATATACCCATTTAGATGAAGTAGTCAAATAGAATATTGAAATCATCGGGATGGAGGAGAGAAAAGGTTAATTTCCGAAGAGAGGGATTTTGAACATTGGAAAGTCTTAGGAGACGAGGCGGAGGAAAGAATGGGGAGAGGATAACGACAAAAAAGAGACAGGTCTAACCGGTGAATAAAACGGGGTCAAACTCACTCGTACCAAGATGTTATTGATACACTATGATTAGAATATTTTCTTTCAAGTCACAACATTTTGGAAGTTGTTAATGGCACTTTCCCTTGTCCTTCTCCGCATCCTTATAGAACCCAAATGTGGTGATTTTGTTAATATAAAATTTCAAAAAAAAAACACACACACACACACACAAATGATTCCTATTGTTGGAGTCATTTTTGTTTTCGAGCTACTTAACCCCAGAATATAGTAAACCGCCAATCATTCGACGACTTCTTTCCCAAGTCCATAATATATATAGTCGATACGAAGCCAACGAAATGCAAAAATTTTCAGATTTTTAACAAGTTGAAGAATACTTCATCAACGTAAGCGTCGTCAATCTCATCGAAACGACAAGATCGGCGTAAAAGGATTTGGACTTTTTCGTAGATTTAGCTTTCCCTGGCGTCCATTCCGAAGAAACTGTTGTACCGAAAATTTCTGACCTAGTCACATATACGTATATCTTTTCTTTTCTTTTCTTTTTTTTTTTTCCTTTTTTGTTTGGAAGAAAATATAGGTGTAGACTCTGATCATAATTCCGTACGTTGGATCGAATTTTATATCTCTCTCTCTCACACACACACGCTGACACTCCAACTTATCCAAAATCGAAAAAAGGTGAAGAAGCATAACAATAATCAGATCAAATTTTGATTGTGCAACTTGTATTATATCAGATCATGAATCAGAAAGAGTTGCCTTAAGAACCAAAGGTGTTTGCCTTTTAACTACAAGACTGGGAACTTCCCTCATGTCCAAATGCTCTGAAGAACTTGTTTCACCAGGCAATGCAAAGTCAAACTTAAGTATTAAGTTTGCAAGTGCAACTTCAGCTAGTATCAAGGCGAATACGGAACCAGGGCAACTTCTCCTTCCGTAACCAAATGGGATCAACTCGAAATTTTGTCCTCGAATCTCTCTGGCTGAAATTTATCAGCATTTTCCCACAGTGAAGAGTCCCTTCCGATCGCAAACACATTGATGAACGTTTGTGTTCCAGCACGAATATCATACCCCATAATATTGATATCGTTTGTTGATTCTCTAGGAATAAGAACACCAGGAGGATGCATACGTAGAGTCTCTTTAATAACTGCTTTTAAATAAGGGAGTTCTTCTAAATTATCCTCCGTTATACAATTCAACTTACTGCCCGAAGATCTCCTCACCTCGGCTTTTAATTTGGACATAATATTGTTGTTTTTCACTAACTCGGAAAGTGCCCATTCTAATAATGTATATGTAGTATCAGTTCCAGCAACAAACATATCCTGCGTATGGATCAATTTAAAAAAAAAATAAAATTGGTTACATAATGAAGACAAACTTTATTATGACTTTATTTTTTTAATTTAATTTTATTTATTCATTTCTTTTTTATTGATTGATTGATTAGTTTCATTAATTTGGGCTCAAATCTAAAGTTAATCATCTGACAATGGTGATCTTCAGGACAAATTCTTGAAGAGACCCATCTCAAATTATAAATCAAACACAAGTATATAAAAGATCAAACAAAATTCAATGCCACAAATTAAGAGAAAAAACCTCGATCAATCAAGTTAACCGAAATGAAAGGAAATGGAGTTAATTAAATTAAAACGTTACCAAAATGATAGCGTTTAGTGACTCGCGTTGAAGAACAAATCCATTGGCATTTTTCTCATGAAGATCCAGCAAAACATCCATAACTGTTTCACCCTTAACCTTTTCATCCTTCCTCTGAATTCCTTCTTCCAGAATAGTTTCAAAATATTCATCCAACTCTTTTGCAACCCTTTTCAGCTTTGACTCCTGACCATTGATGAGATTAATCCATCCAAACCATGGGATATAATCGCCCACGTTAAAATCTCCTACCAACTCCATGAATTCTACAAATATTTTGTTCATATTACTCCAAACCATGGGATATAATCACCCACGTTAAAATCTCCTACCAACTCCATGAATTCTACAAATATTTTGTTCATATTACTCCTAGTTTTCTCTACAGAATACCTCTTTCCAATAGCAATCATAGAAATCGTGTCGATGATAAAATTATTCAAGATCTCGCTCATGTTCACGGCTGAGATTGATAAGCAAGATTTGTTTATTTTTTCTAATATCGACGACCTCTTCTTCGCGTATCTTTCTGAAAGATTGAACCCTCTTATTACTAAGAAGTTGAAGGACACATATGCCTCTTGCCTGCCTCCAATACTCGCCGTAGGGTGCGAAAGTAATGTCCTTAAAGTCGTACACAAGTCGTCCGGCAAAGCTTGACTTAGGCCTGTTTGAAAAGTTGAGTCATGCGTTTTCAGGACCATTTCCGCCACGCCGGGAGACGAGACGATGAGTGTAGGTTTGCTGCCAAAGTGTAGCAGCATTATGGGGCCATATTTTTCAGCCAATGATTTAAGGAGCGGTGGGGGAGGAAACCTAGTTGATGAAGGTTTCCGAAAATAGGAATTTTTGGTGGTGAAGGTTGGAGATTTTTCGGGGTAGAATTAGGATATTGATATTTGAAGAAAACAAAAGTGAAGATAACGAATGGAAGAAGGAAAAAGAGGAACTGTTGTAATGTTAAAGGTACTGAAGTTAACAAAATGGACATTTCGTGGGCGAAAACACATCTACTGCATGTAGTCGTCTAGATCTCCGACGAAAGTCTGCAATGGCGAGGAAATCAAAAAAGAAAGGGGAGGCTAAGGAGAGTGACAGCACACAACCATCGGAAACAGAACGTGACCATTCAGAAGGGAAGGTTGAATATGGAGGTGGCAAGATGAAGCAGATTCAGCTCAGCTCAAGCTCAGGTAAACTTGCTAATTCGAACTTGAATTTTGAAGATCTGTGTAAACGAAAGGTGATTGAGGTGGGTGATAGCTCCGAAGCTCAGATCCAAGCAAGATCTGATAAATCTGAGGTCGGTAAGGTAGCTGGGGATAAAGATGTATGGCAAGGATTTGATCCAAAAGTCTTAGTTCAGAATAAGAAGAAGCTGAGCTTTATTGAACCTAAAGTTGTGAATGATAGGCTTATTACGAAGATAACAAGATGAGATCCAGAATGAGATTGAATACTGGAAGTCATCCATAATCTGTTATGTATTGGGGGCTAAGATACCATTCCCAGTCATGAATTGTTTCATTAGAAGGTATTGGAGTAAAAGGAATGTAGATAAGGTTCTGCTACTGGATAATGGGGTGTTTGTGATCCGTTTCAGAGCTATGAATAATAAGGAGGAAGTGCTAAAACAGAACATTCACCAGTTTGATAACCGGTCATTGATAGTGAAGGATTGGGATGTACAAATCGGAATTAATGTGGAAGAACTAAGATCGATCCCTGTGTGGATACAACTACCTGGATTAAAGCTTCAATAATGGAATGCTACCTCTCTCAGTAAGCTTACCAGTATGATTGGTAAGCCAATAGAAATGGATGACATGACAGAAAATAAGCTCAGAGCAGCATATGCAAGAGTTCTAGTAGAAGTTGAATTCAAGGAAAAACTTAAAGTGGAGGTATGGTTTGAAGATGAAGCAGGAGTGGTGCAAGAACAGAAGGTGGTATATGAGTGGAAACCGCTGAAATGCAACAACTGTAATGGATATGGTCATGATCTGAAACAATGCAGGAGGCCGGTTGAAAAGAAATGGACTCTCAAGACAGAAGGGAAACAGAAGGAAATCCAGGAATCAACACAAGCTATGGTGGTGGAAACTCCAAAACAACAGTCTCCAAAATCCTACTCAGTACCATCTAGCAAGGAGAGTAATACTGAGTTTGGAGAAGGAAATGTTCAGATATTAAATCATAAAGGTATTAAAATACCTGACAGTAGAGGAGATATTAAGAACAGATCCATTAATAGTATTTGTTATCAAAGGACTAGTCACCCTGATCTAGGGCCTAGTACTTATGAATAACATACTCTCATGGAACATAAGAGGACTAAACAGTCCTCTGAAACACAGAGAGGTAGACCAATGCCTTTCTGTGAATAAGGTTGGTATTATGGGATTGTTGGAAACAAAATTGCAAGGTGAAAAGGTGATGGAGCTCATGGGAAAGAGATGGTATAACTACAGTCATGTAAGTAATCATGATAACCAAAATAAAGGGAGAATATTGTTACTTTGGAGGAAAGATGAATACGTGGTAAAGGAGATCATAGTGGATACTCAGTTTATACATTGTCATATTACTGAATTGGAGTGTAAAAAGCAGTTTTACTTCACTTTGGTATATGTTGATTATCTAGATCAAGGGAGAAGTATACTATTGGAAAGGCTGAAAGTTCTATCACAAGGGATTAATGAAGCTTGGCTGATGCTAGGGGATTTTAACTGTGTTATGCAACAGAATGAGAGATTGGGTGGCAGAGAAGAGATGAATTCTGACTCTGGGAAATTCAAACAGTTGATTGAGGAATGTGAGCTATGGGAGATGTCAGTGCAAGGAGGGTTCTTCACATGGAGCAATAAGCAAGTTGGGAATATGAGAATATTGTCTAAACTGGATAGAAGCTTTATCAATGAACACTGGGAAAATACATTTCCTGAGGCTTACACCACAGTTTTGAATGCAGGGATTTCAGATCATCATCCTCTTTTAATAAAATGGGGAGAGGCATATGTTGGGAAGAAGACTTCCTTCATATTCTTTAATATGTGGTTGCAAGACCAGGAATGCAAGGCCATAGTGGAAGCTTACTAGAAAAAGAATGTGAAGGGGTCATGCCAGTACAGAATGATTAAAAAGCAGCAATGGTTGAAGAAGCCACTAAGAGAGATGAATAAAAAGAAATTCTCAAACATTGAAGAGGCAGAACTAAAATGGAGGAAAAAACTGGATGATGTTCAAGAAGCTTTGAAGGCTGATCCACATAATACACAACTTCAACAGGAGGAAAGGGAAGCAATAAAGGAGTGTGGTCTAGCAAATTCTTCTGATTATGGAATTCACTAAGGCTGATGTTAAAGAAGCAATGTTCAGTATAGATATCACAAAGAGTTCAGGCCCTGATGGATTCAATAGTGGCTTCTATAAAGCTATGTGGTCCATTGTAGAAGAAGATGTATGTGATGCTGTCATGGAATTCTTTAAAACAGGTAAATTGCAGAAACAATTGAATGCAACTTTGATTGCTTTGATCCCTAAAGTAGAAGTCCCTAAAAATGCTACTGAATACCGGCCTATTGCCTGCTGTAACACTGTGTATAAATGCATAACTAAAATGATATGCAAAAGGCTGAGTAGTGTTCTGGATGGATTGACTAATATAAACCAAGGAGCTTTTGTGAAAGGAAGATCTATTCTGCAAAATATCCTATTGACACAGGAATTGGTAAGACGGTACAACAGGAAAAATGTAAAGCCAAGTTGCTTGATGAAGGTGGATCTCAGGAAGGCCTATGATTCTATACACTGGAGTTTTATAGAGGAAATGCTACAGGAGTATGGGTTTCCACCAAAGATGATAGGTTGGATCATGGAGTGCATCAGAACAGCAACATTATCACTGAACATTAATGGATGCAGTACTGGTTTCTTCCAAGGAGGAAGAGGTTTGAGACAAGGTGACCCGATGTCACCCCTCCTCTTTGTATTGGTGATGGAGTATCTAACCAGAATGTTCAAAACAGAAGCAAGTAAAGAAGGTTTTCAGTTCCATCCTTATTGTGATAAACTGAAAATCACCTCTCTGAGTTTTGCAGATGATCTTATCATTCTGTGTGGAGCTGATATTCACACTGTGACAAGAGTGAAGAAGATAATGGAGAATTTTGAAGCTACAACTGGACTAAGAGTCAACTTCAACAAATCTAATGTCTATGTGGCAGGAGTTTCTGAAACTATAGCTGATCAAATCCAATCTATTCTAGGATTTGAGAAAGGCAGTTTTCGTATGAAATACCTGGGGATGCCAATCTCACCTACTGCATGGAGCAAAATGGAATGTCAAAGCATGGTGGATAAAGTGACAGCAAGGATCAAATGTTGGACATCCAAACATCTGTCCTATGCAGGCAGGTCACTACTTATTAATGATGTATTGTTGACTCTAAATTCCTATTGGGCTAGCATTTTTCTCATCCCACAGAATGTGATCCAAGACATAGCCAAAGTTTGTAGGCAGTATCTTTGGGGAAATAAGGAAGATGGAAGAAAACTGCCTCTCGTAGCATGGAATGATATGTGTCAGAAGAAATTAGAAGGAGGCCTGAATATTAAGGAGCCTAGTTTGTGGAATAAAGCCATGATCACTAAGCAGTTGTGGGATCTGAGCAACAGGAAGGAAAGTTTGTGGGTCAAATGGATACATATGTACTATGTAAAAGGCAGATCAGTATGGGATTGTAGAGCTCCAAATGACAGCAGTTGGCATTGGAAGAAACTAATGAAAATCAAAGAGGTTATGAAAGCAGGGATCTGCAATAGTCAATGGATGGGAAATGGTGGTAAGCAGTATACAGCAAGCAGTGGATACACATGGCTGAGAGGTGAAAACAGAAAGGATCATGCTGCAAAGATAGTATGGTGTTGTTACTCAATCCCAAAACATAGCTTTATAAGCTGGTTGACTTGGAAACAAAGATTGAACACTGGGGAAAGGTTGCAGCAACTGAAAATTATTACTGATACTATAAGATGTGTTCTATGTCAAACTGAACCTGAAACTGCTCATCACTTATTCTTTCAATGTGTGTTCTCTAAAAGATTGCTGGAAATGGTGAAAGTTTGGCTGGGAATCAATGCCATCCCTAACCAGTTAAATGTCCAGAAAATGCTGCAAGTATGGAGGTACAGGAAGATGCAACAGAAGGTACTATATGCTGTCATTAATGCCATAGTTTATCAGGTTTGGATGGAAAGGA